TTTAGTTACTTTGCAGATCCAGATTAATGAAACAAAATAGAAATAACAAATAGAAAAAGAATGTAAAATGATAGGTATAGCTGCCCAGCAGTCATCTTTATTTTGTAGTTGATAGTGGTAATAATTCAAATAAAGAGTAATACTGTGAAAAGTAAAATATGAGCCAAGTCATTTAATACATTTTTTATATATTTTTTATTAAAAATATTCAAAACAGTTTCAAAAATACTTTCTATAACATTTCAAATACATTACTAATACAGTTGAAATACCATGCTGTGAGCGGTGGCCATTGTCTTTAAGATGAGGTTAAACACAACAAGTGCAGCGTGTGTTCATTGTTCTGTTTTTTCCAGGACTCAACAAATTGAATTATCATATTTTGCTAAACTCATAATTGGTGCCACTCCTGGAAAGGGCTTCACATAATGTCACAAAGAGTGTCCAAATCACACAAGTGACCAATTCACATTGATCGTATTGGCTCTTCCCTGAGGAACAGTTGGACATATAAAGTCAAAAGCACCAGAGGAACGTATTTTTTTTCTTGATCCGGAAGAGACTCCTTCACATGTAAGTGTGTCCTCCCTTTTTGTTCTGCAGGCTCAGAGCTCCTTTCACACAGTACGGGATGATGCTGACGGTGACCAGAGGCACGGTGGCACTCTTGCAGAAGGACAGCAGGTAGAACAGAGCTGCGGTGTGCGTGGGAGGTTTGAAGGAGTCAAACAGGTGCAGCAGGAGCAGAGTGCTAATGACGCTCAGCACTTTGACCGCCGAGCTGCTGCTCTTCTTGGTCTCAGTGTAGAGGGGTGAGTGCAGGCCCAGACCCAGGCCGAACAGCGTGCCCATGTTACGCAGGAGGCTGGCGAAGGGCGTGGATTCCATGTGAACCCACTCTGGCTTCACACACCACTTCTGAGCCTTCTCCAGGGTCCAGAGCAGGTCCACACCCACAGCTTTAAGCAGCAGGTAGAAGCCAACAGCGAAGGAAGTCAGGAAGAGAGTCGTGTAGAAGTATTTCTTCATGCTGGCGCTGTAGATCAACTGAGTTCTGTTGAAGGCTTCTGCCACCATTATACCTAGAAAACAATGGAATATCCAGGTTAATATTTGGAGTTATAAAGTACTGGATACCACTAAGATATCAGTAATCCTAAGCATAAATCCTAAGGTATAGGTACGCAATACAGTTAATATAAATTAAACATTGGTATTTCATGCCTCGATTTAAATACAATATTACCAAGTAACAAAACTAGTCAAACAATACCTGCATTCAATAGTTTTTAGAAAAAAATAAATCTACTAATTGTTTGGTTTTGCTCTCAACCAATCAGCGCAGGCGTTCTTTGATTAGATGCTAAGTGTGATTGGCCCACAAACCTGTTGGGTTTAGTAAAGTTGAGCATGGTAAAAATGTAATATTTCAATAAGTTGGATGCTTTTAACAACACCTGATGCTCCATGTACATGATGGGTATCAAATGAGTTAGCGGAGAATTGTATGAGATGAAGAACTATTTTGGTATCAGTACTTGTATTGGTACTGGTATTGTATTTTTCTAAACAATACTCATCCCTAGAAGGACACTGACCTGTTATAACACCAGCTACGACCTGGTGTGGGAAGTGGGCGGCGATGAAGACCCTTGAGAGACAGACACACACCTGCACTCCCCAAAACAGTGTCCACAAAACAACCTTCGGATACCTGTGAAAAACACATTTCATTTTTGTTTGAATCAGCAATTGAGATTCAAGACAGCCTTGCCTTGCCCTTTCACAGCAAGTCAATCCTTTAAAGCAATATAAAAATGAACTCAGTGTTTTCTTGCTGGTCATGAGAATTTCAGCTGCCTGGACGTCAAAACAACCCACATATAATCTCCACTCTCCAACCATGGTTCTCAGGAGTCAATGATCAACCACAGCTCAGGACAGATAGTGTGTCCACAATGATAAGCTCAGGGTGGAATAAAATGGTTAACAACACAGACATGGATGAGTAAAATGTTAATTTGTCTGACTCACCAATCTTTGTTGCTGGATTTCTTGATTCCAAATTTCTTCTTGGTGGTCATTATGGCGAGGATGGAGGTCACGAGGGTGTAGTAGACTCCTGCAGCTCCCATTGAGTGGCCAGAGGGGCTTCCTGTAACACAAACAGAGAGGGGGGTATCAGTGGCTGATTCACTCAAGTATAGTGACATTGTTCATTCAGCATTTTTGGTTGTTTCAGAGAATGAATAAATAGAATAAAATAAGGAACATCTTTAAAACAGCAGTGAAAGTAGTACTGTACATGAACTCAAGGTCTGTACCCAAGCTATTTTATAGTTCTTCTTACACAATTTAATTAGGTTTTTTTCTAAAGTAGCTTATGGTTATAAAGGATATGCCATGTAATATTGTTAAATTCACCTCTTAACTGTTCAGATGACCAAAAGTGGTACAATTATTCAAATATTTCTAAAGATTTGAGAAAAATTATAGGTTCTTTCTCAAATCAGTTAAGTTCTATTTATATTATGGAGAACCTAAAAATTGAACTGATAGTACTCATGTACTTTTACTTTTGAATGACTTTACCTTAAAATAATATGTTATTCAATGCTTTATTGTCACTTAAGTAAAAGGTTTGATTTCATATTCCTTCAAGACAATACCTGGGCATGATTACAAGGCTAGATTAGAACAGAACAAAGCTGTTATGTGCCCAAAGGTACTAAGAACGCACTGTGTACTGGTTTAGGGTCATTTAATTAACTGCACCAATGAAGCACAATTGTAAATGACAGCAAGATGGGTCCTTAAATAATAACGAACAAAGTCTGCAGCCTATATTGCACCCAAGTACAGTAGGTACATTGATTTTGTAAAAACCAATCTACGATAATATTCCAGGAACTTCTGAGGAGTTGGGGTAATAAAAGCGGCCCATTAGGGACATTTCTCACCTGGTCCGGTCTCACAGGTCATGGGGTATTGCTCAATGTGAGGACGAACTGTGTTTGCATAATAATCCGCTTCATGGACCCACCAGTAAGGCCTTTCACCGAACAGAATCCTGAAGAAGACGACATAAATATACACTCCATCATGGTCTAAAAACATGTTATGGCCAGTTGAAAAACTTCTAATTCAAAGATTTACTTGACTTACCATTTGAACACCAAATTGAGCCAGTCTCCGATCACAGCCACCCATATGAGCTTGATGGCCACTGGAGACCGCAGGTGGAACCAAAGAGGGAAGAAGATGAAGAAGGTGTTCCTGAGGTCTGCCGCCCAGGAGACCCAGAGAAACAAACCCTGGGCATCCTTGAAGTTTGTCTGCAGGTAGTGGGTGGTGCTCACCCCAAAACCTGACATGGAGTCCATTAAAGCGTTCATCTTTACCTCAAGAGGAAGGGAGAGAAATCTCAGTCTGGTGCTGTGTGAGTGACAAATACAGGACTGTTACTATCAGTAACACAGCTGGTAGGTTTTATACCTGAGGGACCCACCGCCTAAACGCATGCTCACACTGATCTTTGGACCTTGCACGTAATAAAACACCCGGACACAGGAGAGTTTGAGGTTTCTCACACAAACATGTTGAAAAGATAGCGGGAAAACAAATCGTCAATAGTTTTTTTGTCACGGAACTACTGTACGCAGCACAGAGAGGAAGTCAATTCATGGCTGTATTTCACAATTGTGTAAATAAATAAATGGATCGCGAACAAATCAAAGAACTTGCACAACAGCATTTGCTTTTCAATTAACTGCATGATATTTTTTTTATTAAACATTAGTTATGTCCTTTTCTTTCTTTCTCATGTATGCAGCCACTGAGTGATCACTGTTCAGTTATGTAATTGTGATTTCTGATGATTTGGTGTAAGAATCTCCCTGGTGGAGGCAGCCATGTGTAGGTTACATAAGGAGATCAATGATTACATGATTGGGTTTGGACTGAAGCGGAGGAGATAGTTGTTGATGAAACTGAAGGAGCAGCTTGGCAGGTTTTAGGTTGTGTACAAGTCTGTCGGGAAAACAGGTTTTGCAGAGACCTGCCTCTCATATTTGATCTTATCTTTAAAATAGTGGAGCCTAACTACAGTAGGAAGACACAAATGACGCACTCTACTCGGCACACACCGGATAAAATGTGAGCCAAGATCAATGGATTTCACAAGTATGAGTTCCGAACAGAAGCTACTTCATATTCATTGATAAACAGAGGGATTAAAAAAAAAAGGGTTTTCCTAGAAATCTGTGATACGTCAGAGGGGCGGCGATTTGTTTGTTTGTAGCCTTTATTTAACCAGGTTAAAAATCCCATTGAGATCAACGATCTCTTTTTCAAGGGAGACCTGCAGTACATTGGTTACACATAAAAACAACAGAAAACAAAAGGACATCACAACATAATTACAGGGGTATAAATTAGCAACCTATTCACAATGACAGGTATCTAATAACATTTCATCCAGCCGCGCTTTAAAATTATGCAAGGGAATCAAAATGCTCAGTTGAAAAAGAAATTGCATAGTGTTCCAAGCCAGAGGAGCAGCGCACATAACAGCTTTAGTACCTAAAACAGTCCTAGCACTTGGCACATGTAATAAAAACACATCCTGTGATCTCAGGCAATAGCTACTTGCCACTCTCCGTGAGATCAAAGAGCAGATATAAGTTGGGAGTTTACCCAACATAGCTTTATATATGAATATGTACCAGTGACTGAGCCTCCGTACAGTAAGTGACGGCAGACCTGCCTTGGCATACAGGGTACAGTGATGAGTAAGTGCTTTACAGTTAGTAACAAATCTCAGAGCACTGTGATAGGCGACATCTAACCTTTCCAGGCAATGGGCAGGTGCATTCATATGTATCAAATCACCATAGTCCAGCACAGGTAAAAAGGTCACAGTGACTAGCCTTTTCCTGGCTAGTGATTGATTTGTGTTAGATGTATTTTAGAACGAGGGGGGGGGTAAAGGTTAAGGAACCTGTCTGCACTGTCCCAAAGGCAAACAAAATGGGCTAGCCTTGATTAAAGTCCGATGGGGATCACACAGGCAGCACAGAGGGGACTGCCTGGCTGGGAAGAGCTTGGCAGCAACCTAACTGAGAAACCTAGACTCAGATTTAGTGCACTAGCCTCAGGCAGGAGGTTGTGATATCATGGATCTTCTCCACAGTTGGGGGGTAGAGCTGGTGGTCCATCTGCAGACCACACACAGCAGACATGAGGGCTTGTTCAGCCTGGCGTCCACAGTGGCCGACTTGCACACCACGTTCTTCTGCTTCTTCCCGATCTGGTTCCACCTGCGGAGGGACACGGGGCTCAGGCTCATCTGGGTGGCCGTCCTCGGAGACTGGCTCAACTTGGTCCTGAAATGGTAAACAACTGTTGGAAGTAATGCCTATTGAAACGCATACAAATAAATGTTGTATTTTGAGTTTATTGTTGTTTTCATGACAGGGTTCTGTTTGGGGAGAGGCCGTACTGGTGGGTCCATGAGACCCGGTTTTATGGAGCGGGAGCGGCCCCTTCTCTGCAGCAATTTCCGATAACATGTGAGACTGGACCAGGTACACTTCATGACCTGCAGTGGATCACGTGATGATTGTTATTGTCTTGAAAAACTGATTGACTGAATGGAATGGTTTATCTAGCAAAGTCAACCATTAGCCTTGTTGATAATTAAAGGGGAGCACAACTAAATTAAGAACTCCAATATGATATCTGCAGGGCTTAGGAGAGTTCAATCAATATTTGTGAAGATCTTCACAAATTAATTTCTCTCAAAGACAGTGTTTTTTGTTAGTTTTTTTATACCCAAATGAGCTAAAAATGGTCTTTAGAGGGGTTCAATACTTTATACCCGATAACCTCACGACAACAAATTTGAGTTTAAGCACACTAGTGCTTGATTTGACTTTTATCAGACCATAGGAGTAACATGTATGAATTTAGAACATTGGCATAGTTCCACTTAAAGTACTTGATTGCCAGATAATATCTTGAGTGTTTGGCAGACACTCATTGCTTTCTTTGAATGAATGTGATAACTAGGTTATAAAAAGGTACTCTAGTACCTTTGGCACTGTGTAGTGATTTGTATCTTAAAATGCTTGTGATGGAAATGACTTTGGATTCCGCAATTTAAAAAAAAGAAAATCCAGCACATATACAACGCACTTAATGCAAAGAGGTTACACAACAAAGGTCCTTTTCAAACAGTATCTAATCATCATTCTTAGGTTAAAACAAGTTGTTCTGGCGTTGACTTTGAAATTATTGTTTAAAGTTTAAAATAATTTGAAAAACGGTCTCCGGATGTTGAAACTTAACAGCCAGCTAAACTCTCCTCAGCATCATTTCTCCAAGGAACAGGCAGGTGTTGTATTTGGCAGGGATTTTAAAGGGGACCTATCATGCAAAATGCACTTTTGTACGTCTTTTATACATGAATATGTGTCCCCGGTGTTCCAGGGAACTCACCAAGTGTCAGAAAACACAACCCTCTCTATTTTCCTCCATACCCAAATCTCTAAAAAAGGGGCTGCAACGGATCTGATAAAAACTGATCCCGATTTGAACACTGTCCTGACGTCAGGACGGTGGCCACGGCCATAGATAGATCGATCGATCGATCGATAGATAGATAGATAGATAGATAGATAGATCGATAGATAGATCGATAGATAGATCGTACTTTATTTATCCCAAATTGGGAAATTGTTGTTGTTACAGCAGCATAAAAGGCATTTTACAATAAAACAAAACTACAAAATAATAAATATACAAGAATAGAAAGAAAAATAAAATATACATGTTGAAATAGAAAATATACATGCAGATATTATATATACAAATATATATATATATTCAAAATATATGACATTATGGAATATGGAGTATAAATATTGAACAGATTATATGAGTAAAATGTACAACGTGGTTTAATTTCTAGAGAAACTATGGAGCAGAGAGTTCTCTTCCAGCCAGAGGTGATTTATTGTACAGAGTTATTGCAGTGGGCAGGAACGTTTTCCAGTATCTGTCCTTGTGACAGGGGAGCTGCAGCAGTCTGTTGGAGAAGGAGCTCCGTTGACTGTCCAGCTGCAGGTGGAGAGGATGGGTGGGGTCCATGATGGACAACAGCCTGTTCAGTGTCCTCCTCTCCACCGCAGCTTCAAAAGGGTCCAGCTTGATGCCGATGACTGACCCAGCTTTCCTGATCAGTTTATTGATCCTGCTGGTGTCACCGTCTCTTATGCTGCCCCCCCAGCAGACCGCAGCAAAGAAGAGTGCACTAGCCACAACAGACTGGTAGAAGATCTCCAGCATCTTACTGCATACGTTGAAGGATCTCAGCTTCCTCAGAAAATAGAGTCGGCTCATCCCCTTCTTGTACACAGCGTCAGTGTTGATCCTCCAGTTCAGCCCATTGTCTAAGTGCACTCCCAGGTACTTGTAGTCCTCCACAACGGCCACATCCTCTCCTAGAATGCACAGGGGCAGAGGAGGAGATGTCCTCTTCCTCCTGAAATCAATGATCATCTCTCTGGTCTTGGCCACATTCAGAAGCAGATGATTTCCACCAGTCCACTCTACAAAATCACCCACCAGCGCTCTGTACTCCTCCTCCCGTCCATCCCTTATACACCCTACCACTGCAGAGTCATCCGAAAACTTCTGCAGGTGGCATGACTCTGAGTTGTATTGAAAGTCTGAGGTGTATAAGGTGAACAGGAAAGGAGACAGCACAGTCCCCTGTGGGGCTCCAATACTACCAACCACCACATCAGACAGCACACTGCCCAGCCGGACGTACTGTGGTCTGTCAGTGAGGTAGTTGGTAATCCAGGAGATGGTGGACGAGTTTACCCTCATAGCCTGCAGCTTGTCACTCAGTAGCCGAGGCTGGATCGTGTTGAATGCGCTGGAGAAATCAAAAAAGGTGATTCTCACAGTGCAACCCGATCCATTCAGGTATGAGTGAGCACGCTGCAGCAGGTAAATAATGGCATCGTCCACCCCCAGGTGAGGCTGGTAGGCAAATTGCAGAGGGGCAAGGAATGATCTCACCTGCGGTCTGAGATGGGCCAAGACCAGTCTCTCAAGCACCTTCATCACATGAGATGTGAGTGCTACAGGGCGATAGTCATTGAGCCCAGAAGGAGTCGTCTTTTTAGGGACCGGAACAACGCAGGACGTCTTCCACAGCACCGGGATGGTCTCCAGGTGCAGGCTCAGGTTGTACAGATGTTGGAGAACAGGAGACAGCTGGCGGGCACAGGTCCTCAGGACCCTGGGGCTGATACCATCAGGGCCAGCAGCCTTGCCTTGGTGGAGTTTTTCCATCTGTCTCTGGACCTGTCCTGTGCTCACAGTGAAGCGGGGGGGGGGGGGCTTGATGGCAGGGGGATAGAGGGGGGGGGGGGGTCTGAGGCAAGATGAGCAGAGGGGGGGGGGGGGGGGGGTCAGCGGCAATGTGAGCAGAGGGGGGGTGCAGAAGCCAGGCTGGGTGGTGGAGGAGAGGTGTGAAGTGGAGGTGGTGAGCAGAGGGGGGATGCTGACGCCAGGCTGAGAGAAGGAGGTGAGGTGAGAAGAGGAAGTGGAGGAGACAGCAGCGGGCAGAGAGCTAAACCTATTGAAGAAGGTGTTCAGCTCGTTGGCCCTCTCCAGGGTGCCCACAGTCAGTCTGTCTCTCCCTTTGAAGCCAGTGATAGCCTTCATCCCAGCCCAGACATCCCTGCTATTGTTCTGCTGGAGCTTATGGCGCATTTCTACTATACGGCCTCGCTCGGCCTCGCTCGGTATGGCTAGGCCTCGTTAGGACTGGCTCACTTTATTGTGCTTTCCATTACAGTTTAGGAACTGGGGTAGTATCTATAGCAGGGGTGGGCAATTATTTTTTACAAGGGGCCACTTCAGAAACTCGAACTGTGTTGGGGGGCCGAATCAAAAATAAGTTGAACTTAATTCTGCTCAATATAGCAATACTGAAAAGGTGTTTTACAGTATGTTAAAGATAAGAAATGAATCAGCTTTATACAAAAAGAAATGAGTGCTTTTGATTTTTGTTTTTCAGTTAATTTGACTTGTTCAGTGAGAAAAATCCAGTCTGTCTTGCGCTTGAACAAGTGCACCAAATCTGGTTCAATGTCTGAGGTGGATATGCGAAGGACAGCTGAGAGGTGATCATCAGTGATAGAGGATCTGTATCTGGATTTGTTGAACTTCATCACTGAGAATGTCTGTTCACATATGTAGGTAGATCCAAAGAGGACCATCATCTTCTGAGCACGTCTCCTGATGTGTGGAAAGTTCTCCTCTTTCAGGGAAGAGTAAAACTCAGGCAGTGAGACTGACCTAAAGTGCTCTGACAGAAGTGTGTCAGACTGCAGGTCAATGAGTTCAAGCTGAACATCACTGGGTGCATCATCCACATGGCATGTAAATGGGGAAAAGATCATGTTCATTTCATTCTCAACTGTTTTGAAGTCTTTAAATCGCCTTGAAAACTCACCATGCAGTGCTTCTAACATGGATGAGTACCTCTGGAGGTGATCAGCTGATGGTGTGGCTTCCTTCAGTGTTGGCAAGTGTGTGAGAATGTTGTCCTCCATTTGGCTTGAGAGAAGCTGCAGCTTTCTCATGAAAGCCTTCACTGCACTGTACATGTCATGCACAAAAAGGCCCTTGCCTTGCAGTTTGACATTTAGTTCACTCATTAGTGCAGTCACATCTACAGCAAAACCAAGGTCTGCCATCCAGTCTGCATCTGAAAGCTGTGGGATGTCGTTTCCTTTCTTCACACAGAAGTCTTGAATCTCTTCTCTCAGGTCCCATACTCTTTTCAGCACTTTGCCCAGGCTGAGCCACCTGACAGCTGCATGGTAGGGTATGTCACGATGTTCAGTCTCACTTTCCTCCAAAAGTGCAACAAACTGTCTGTGATTCAATGCTCTTGCCCTGATGAAGTTAACTATTTTAGTTACAACATCAACAACATGGTTAATTTTTAACACTGACTTACACAACACTTCCTGATGTATAATACAATGCAAAAATACCTATTTCTGCTCAGGGTTAATTTCTGTCACTTTATCCTGCATTCTCTTCAATAGTCCAACATTTTTCCCTGTCAGATTTGGACAACCATCCGTTGTCACGCCTGCCAGCTTGTCCCATTTCAGTCCCAACTTTTCCACACATGCATTTACCTCCGTGAACAAATCACTCCCTGTTGTTGTACCTTTCATTGACTGCATGGCTGCCAGCTCCTCCGTGATTTTGAAGTCTGTAGTTATCCCACGTAGGAAGATGAGTAGCTGGGCAGTGTCACGTACATCGCAGCTCTCATCCAAAGCCAAGGAAAAAAAGTCAAAGTTGACCGCTCTGTTCTGCAGCTGAAGCTCCAGATTTCCCGCGATGTCCTCAATTCTCCTCGTAACAGTGCGTCGGGAGAGCGGCACTTTCTCAAATGCCTCCTTTTTCTCCGGGCATATTAGTGTCCAACAAACACTCCTTAATGAACTCTTCGTCCGAAAACGGTTAACTTTTAAGACATAACTCGTCT